GAATGTTGAGACTTTAGCACAAATGTCCAACAAAATAATTAATAATTTCCGGCAAAATTAATTCCCTTTATACTTAGATAAGATTTAGTTTTAGTTTTTAGTTTTAAGATATCAATTGTTATACTGACATGCAGGTTTAAAAAACCTGTTTAAAATACTGAATTGCCAAGACAGGAACAATGTAAAAACACTTAGATATATATCATAACAATTAAGGCTGGTAAGTTACTGTAGTAACTGGAGCACCTAGGTTAAAAATGAAATGTAATTTATTTTGAATTTGGAACAAATAAAGAGTTAAAAAAAAAAAAAAAAAAAAAAAAAAAAAAAAATAAATAAATAAATAGATGGTCGAATATTCGACGTATTGCCAACAAATATTACCCCTTTACATGATATTCAAGCTCAGTAGCACAGCTAAGCATAGCCAAAATTAATTTGATTTCTACCTTTTCTAGGTATGCCACGGATAATCGAAAAGCTTGTCCCGAATTTGAATTGTGATAAAAAAAAATTAATGGGTCTGTGCCTAGGGGCACGAACAGAAGCTTGACGTAGGACGGCTAGTGGACGGAAAAATGTGAAGAGCATTTAGTTCTTTTAATTGATCAATTATCTATTATCTCAACTCTTTCCGTTTTTGAATTGTAGGCGTACCAGATTTGTAGTAATTTTTTTCAAAGAGAATCAATCTAAATCACTTGCATCCCTGCTTCCAAGTTTGGTTACAAGATTTCAACTCTGGAGAGCATTTTGTGTGGTCGTTGGGGGTTTGTGGTTCTAAATATGGACAAACAAGCACAGATAAATTCTATTCCAACTCTTTACTGATGTAAGCTTGATGGCCCTGAAAAGGGCCGTTTTATTGAAGATGACATCCATGGCCACTTAAAGCAGAATGATGTGCAACCAAGTGGTATAAAAGCTACAAAGACTCCTCCCATTATGAGTAGTTTGCTATCAAGTAGCGACACTGGCTCTTTTCCTTTTGCGTACACGGCGAATGAGAACGACCCAAATTTGAGTTTAGTTCACTTATAATCGCCAAAAGTGCAGAAACTCAGCGATGAGTAAATTTGTCTCAGGGTTTCCTGTGGAAAACCTAAAAAATCTGCCAGAAAATTTTATTCAGTCTCGGAGTAGTATCAATAGACTGAGCGAATCAAATCTTTACTTTTCTCAAATTCGGGATTTTTTCCCTGGAAAATCCTGGAAAAACCTGGGAAAACATGCGGCTAATTTACTCATCGCTGAGTTCCTGCACTTTATTTCTTATTTCTGAGATAACTAAACTAAAATTTGGGTCGTTCTCATTCGCCGTGATATCACCTTGAAAGATATCGGCACCGGTGGTTAGCGTGATTACCTCTCACCCCAGTAGGCCTGGGTCCAATCTCAGTCGGCGCCACCGGCATGTTCTAAGGCATAACATCTCTGATCACGCCTTCCTTCGGGAAGTAAAGCCGTTGGTCCCCGGTTTAGTTGATGGGTCGATTGATAGGGTCCAGGTATGGGAGCTGCCTCCCTGGCGTCGGTAGCATTAGAGCTCAGTACGGAAAACAAATCTCGCGTCACTTTTCAATAGGTTCTATCTATATTGATCGATTCTCTTCATCGACACTCTCTTTCGTAAATAACTCGGCTTCAAAAATGGTGCCTGCCGTCTTCGTCGAATTAGATGCTAGATTGTTGCTTCTTCCATCGAAAATATCCGGCCGTGGCGATTCAGAGTTGATCAAGGTTAATTAAAATAAATTGTACCCCTGCTTCCAGTTTGATTACATGATCATTTTGTGTGATCGTTGGTTCTGAATATAGACAAACAGGCAGATGAATTATATTCCTACTCTTTACTGTAATAAGCTTGGTGGCCCTGAAAAGAGCCGTTTTGTTGCCAAAGTTGGTGATGATTTAACCTCCGAAACCAAACAGAGTGCGCTTGGCGTGTTTAGTGTAGGTGACAGCATCACGCATCTCATTTTTCAGGAACACCTTCAGCACACCTCGTAAATCAGACCGGAGATACGTCAGACACCGCCACGGCGAGCCAGACGATGGATGGTGGTTATCTCGAAGAATTTCCGTTTGGTTCTGAATATGGCGATGAGTGTGCAAAATATTACGCAATTCCATCTTCCCTATTCGCACGCGCCCGAGGATCGGAGGCGAATGCCACTTCGATTTGTTTCGTCTACTTACTACTCTCTGACGATTGTGCTGGGGAAGCAGCATATGCATGTAGGTAATTGGTGGATTTGTTAGTTAAGTCGACGCTTTTGAACAATGCTGGACATTTACCAGTTTTTAAATAGTTTCTTGTTGAAAATCAACATTCAAAAGCATTGTTATCGATGCGTAGCCATATTTCTGATCGATTGGTGATAACATTATTGAAATTGGACCAGGGGCAGCTGAGTTATTAACGTTCAAAATCTTTCTTAATTTGTTACATGTTCCATTTTCGGTTTTCACAAAGTGTACCCGCATATAGAAATCAAAGACGTAGTCCTACGTCAAAAAACATGTGTGTAGGATAAGTCATATTTGAAATAATGTTCATGGTTTTATTATGACAAGATAACCAATCGATGTTAATTTCGTGGAGAAAGAAAAACTGTAAAATTTAAGTTAGAGCAAATTAGAAGATTTTATACTTTTAACGATTGACTTGACTTGATTCGGAAGCTTATGGTATAAGCTGTCAGGAACATTAATTTGAAAGGAAAAGATTTTATATTTAATTTATTATATACTTGAAAAAAAATCGAAAATTGTCCTACTCTATTATCTGTATCTCGGTAAGTATATGATTTAAAGAACAGGTTTTCTGGTATTTTATCCGTTAAATAGTCTTAAACCGATGGTGGAACATGAATCACGAATCGGAGAACGTAAATTTTCGAGATTATTGGTCACCTATTGGTTATATATCCTCATAGTGAAACTGTGGACAGCTTTGTGCAAAATTATCTCACTACGCTTCACTAGTATTGATCATCTAGGCAGTTGCTGTCTTGAACAGATTTGTTCAGGTGATTGATAATTTCCAGATTGCAAACGATTTAATTTCTCACAGCGTCTCACTACTGTACATGTGATCATGTCCACCGTGTGCTAAGTCTGAAGATCCTTCTCATATATGAAGTTGCTATCCTCGGAAAATACGTTCAAGTGTCCAAGGCCTTCCAGATGGTGGGCTCATTAGTTTAAAATTATCTCACAAAGCGGCTCTAGTGACACACATTAAGGGGACATTTTAAATCCCAAAAAATAAATTCGAATTGATTTTGCTAAAAATATTGGAAAAGATATTTAAAATTTAAGAATATCAGTTTTTACATTTTCTTCTAAACAGTATTTACGTGTTAAAATATTTTTCTTTGTCATCATGGCACAATGTTAGACTTAAAAAAATTACAAAATCATCCTTTAGGTTTTGCAACTATTTTTCATGATGAGATAGGAAAAATGTGTGTACATGTATATTTTCTCAGGAATCTAAGGCAGACACAGGATCATGGATTTTTTACCAATAATTTTGGAAATATCAAAATATAACTAAAAAAATACTTCCCCTAGCCTAGTGGATTGGGGTCATTTTTGGCCTGGAAAAACTGTGTAATTTTTTCCAAATGCAAACGGAAAGTTAAGCAGTGCCAGCTAATCTCAGACTCAAGAATAATTCCTTAGCAAAAATAAGGCTTCCATTGAGGATTGTACCAGACATCCTCTTATGTGCGAGCCCGTTCGTTTTGGACGCTGAGTTTGTTACTACTTAAATGATTTTGGTAATTTCTACGGATTTACAGCTGTACTTACAATAGACACAGTGTTTATGTCCTCTATTTATATTCAGAGTAATTTGGCTCACAGTTCTCTATATTTGGTTTGTTCTAGCAATCCTCTTGGACTTTTATCCAAGATCTGAAGATTTCAGTAAAAGTTTCACATAGCCCCTGGGATTGCATTTAAAGATCTATGCATTTTCCCTCAATATAAATGTAAAGAAATGATAACCAAATTGTAAATGGTAGAAAATACCGCACCTGGTCACGTCACCCCTGAGCATCCATTCAGCAAGCAACCAAACATTACCAGAAAACCTCAGCATAAATTTATCTGCGGACAAAGTCTCATCATAATTAAGCTCCCCTACATTCACGGGGAATTATCCCTCGCCCACCATCCACCGTTCTATTTCCTGAACTCGAGCCTCAGCGGGCAGAAACCTTGGCTCGGCATTACAATTAAAACCAGTTATCATCCCGGGAATGACTTCCTGTCTCCGAGAAAGGGAAAAGTCATTTCTTATGCCATTGTCCGCTGGCCGTTTTTGTCTTTCCTCCTCGGAAGAATCCCAAAATGGATATGGACAAAGGAAACCCCCTGGCCGGTTCGTACCACGAAGCAGTTCCTTAGTCCGACGCACACGAACCGTGCAGCAGCAAGCCGAGCAGTAGACAATGAAGGATCAAGGAAAGAAATCCTTAAAAGGACACTTAAATTATTACACGACAGTGTAATTAAAATTGTACGATACGAACGTGAGTCACTTTTTCATATTTAAGCGAGGGCTTAACTTGCTCCACACGTTCACTTCGTTCGTTGAGAGACATTACGAGAGAAAAAGAAAATAGTTGTCGAGAAATTCCCCGGTCCTGTCGCTCCACCACTGTAATTAATCATGCCATTATTTCGCACTTTGCACGTTTCCTGTTCCCTTCCATCCCAGTTAAGGCAAGTAGAACTAGTTTCTTGTGCTTATCCTTGAGCGCAAGAAAACTGCTCCCACCGGTGGGGCTTCCCTTCTGCTGTAAAATATCAAAATCCCAAAACGCTCACCCATCACGCACGTTTCCGTTCCGAGCACACTGCGGCTTTGATTTATAACGGTCATCTTTGGAATTCAACAATTATGACCGAAAGCACTAAGTACACTTCCGTAATCAAAGCAATTCAATCCTGCCTGGCACTAGCTACTCATGGGAATGGGAACTCACCTTGAAGCGTTGATAAATGAAGAGAAACTGATCGTAATGGTACCGGCTAGTGTCCCCTTCCGGGAGCTTGCCGAGATTTTCCAGCTCCAATGGTTCGAAGAAGCCCCGCCATAGCAGCGGAGTAATCCACCAGAAGGTGATCCGGGACAGGAACGGGACCGAAGGAGTCTTGTAACCCGTCGTCGTCGTTGTCGTCGTTGTCGTTGTCGAATCTTTTGACATTATCGACGATATGTGCTGTCGACCGGAAGAGTTTCGCTAGAATGGGAGTAGAAAGCGAAGCAAAAATGGTAAAATTTGAGAGGGTAACAACTTATGAAGAAATGCTTGAATGGGGATGATAAGGGATCAGCAATTGACGAAAAGATTAATCGATTTGGAGCGATGAAGTTGTTACTTCGGGGGTTCAATTTGCCTCCCGAGAAAGGGGCTTTAAACTGATAAATAATTCATAAACCGTTTAGGATGTTAAATTTATGATGGACCAAATGAGCGGTGGAATTTAATGGAATTTATGGTTGAAGGCAAGCACGCTGTCAGGAGGTTTGAATGTTTAATCCTTTTGGTAGCCTTATGAGATTTTATCGCGTTGAGCCCAAATATTATACTGTTTTTAAAGGTCAGTTTGTTGTCTTTAACGTCATTTTAACGCTCTTGTGGTCTTGCATTTTTTTTTTTCAAGGTCAATTGACGTTTCTATGTCTATTTAAATTTTAAGTATTTTGGTGATTTTGGTGGTCTTCATGGAATTATGAAATTTTCAAAACCATTTCGACGATTCAAGGTAATTTTAGGAGCAGTACTAACAAGTTTTTTTGTTGGTTATAGGTGCATTTGGCGATTTGATGAACTTTTTGGCGGTTTCAGAATTCAGAAAATTTGTGTATACTGATGTTTTGAACAATTTTGGACACTACTTCGAAGAGGTTCAAATAACATTTTATATAGGAAAAAATCACAGTATTACACATCTAATTCATGTTTCTGCATGCTTCTGCAAGATATGTTGAATGTTTTGAATTAACAACTCTACCCCCAGTGGCGTTGCTTGCCAGGGGCGGGGTGGCGGTCCGCCCCGGGTGCCACCCTTAGAGGGGTGACACCCAAGAGAATAATTAATACCATATACCTGATCATATACATATCCGTAAAACAGCAGTTTCAAAAGGTTGCGGGTCAACTCATATAACAATTTTGAGTACATTTGGTGAAGAGTGTAATCAACTACAGTTTGCTACACCCCTACTAAACGGTGGGCGAAGCAAAGACACAAGCAACCCAGGGGCCTGGCTGGCATCCATGGTTTTGATGCTATCATTTGCTCGTGTCTTACTGCTTACAACACGATTTTCCGTCCCTTTTCACCATGTATACGTCAGACGGGCCGTATTTTGCACGTGATGTTGCCTACTGTCAAACGTATAGGATTGATATAGGGTTGCCAGCCCCCTGGCAGTACCCGAACGAAACAAAACCCCACCCATGTTATGTACAACCGACACCGCATCACTATAGACAGTCAAGTTATAGACCGGCCAACGTGAGTTGACGTATCCAAACAAACCGTCAAATCGTATGGAAAATATTCGTTTTGGATACAAAATGGCAGCATATTGACAGGTCTATAAATATCAATGACATTTATATAAGGTCTGGGCCAACAGGTAGCTTGGTGGTGTTAGAAGCAAAAATATTGTAAACATTGCTGAGCACTCAAGTGACGACGTCACTCTATTCAACATTCCATACTGCGAACAGATAGTATTTTGTCACTGCCAACAGCTGTTTCGTGTAAAAAGATAAACATTGCAATGAAATACGAACACCACTAAACATTTGCACATTTCACTAACATCAATAAGCCCTTTGGCCCAGACCTTGTATAAAGGACATTAGGGGTATTCACTAGGCGCATCGTAAACATATACACTAGCGTAAAAATACCAGTGTCCATTGGAGTGTAATGGAAGTTTACGCATTTACGAGGGTGTATACGTTTACGAGCCGCTTTGTGAATACTTCTATTGTATAACTATACGCATCACTCGCATCACCCGTGCAGGAACCGAAGTCGAACAGACCTTTTTGACGTTTAATAGTCTCTCTCTATCTAGCACACATGGACCCACGCATGGTTTATTTTCCCTTCCCCCACTAGTCCGTTTCCTTCTTGCTCGCACTTCTTCGATTCAGATGGTGCAGTAGTTTGCGCCGATTGAAGGTCTGAAAGCTCTATGCAAACACCGACGACGGCCGACTTCTCTTATGAGATCGTGTTTTGCCTTTGAGTTCGTTGTGAGAGTGGGAGAAAAAATCTTTGCGCAGGCAGAGGATAAGCAAGTTTGATTCCGTGCGGAAATATTGACGACAGTTCCGATGAAGCAGAGAAAAAGTGGGAGCCATTTTCATAAAAGATCAAACGTGAACAAGTAATAACAGCAATAATCCGGTAAGCTGAACAGAATAAAGTGGGATGTAAATTTATTTGGTTTTTCATGTGCCTGATCTTTTTTCCTCAAGGACACAATGCCGCGTGAAGAGCATAAAAACAAGCGATCGAGTGGTTTTCAACAACGCAAAGCAAAACGTGCTAAACTCGAAACAGAGAAAGCATTATCTGAATCGATATTGAGATTCATGAGCAAACCGGAATCAGCACCTTCAGCTACCCATTCGAGCGATGGTGCTCAGGAAGCTGATTCTGCAGCAGCAGCAGGAGCATCACCAGCGTCGGTTTCAGGGACATTAGCAGCAGAAAACGAGGTTTGTGAAGGGACAGAGAAAAAAAAATGAGAAACCAGACGGTTCTGATTCTGAAAGTGATGTAGAAAATGATGGCAATGAGAATCAAGCAGAACACTCTGTGGCTGATGATTCCAATTGCTTTTCTGATGTTTCCTATTGGAAATTACCTATGCCAGCTTACCTAAGAGTGAACATCATCAAGATGGGGAGTGCAACCTTCCAGAATAAGGATGGGCCATTTACTGTTTCATCCAGATCTGGGGAAGGCGTGAAAGGTAAGCAGCGCCAATTAACGAAAGAATGGTTCTATCTTGTGACGCCTGATGGTGACAGAGTCCTACGCACTTGGATGGTGTATTCACGTATAAGCCACAAACTGTTTTGTTTTTGCTGTAGGCTGTTTACTGTTCAAGCAACGGAAACAACCTCAAAATTTGTCACAGGTTTCGATAGCTGGTGGAAGCTTAACCCAAAAGTTCAATTCCATGAAAGATCCGAAGAGCACATTCGATGTCTGGAGAAGTGGAAAACGATGGCTACAAATCTCAAGTGTGGTTCACATATCGATCAACATCTTATCGATCAGAGAGAAGGAATCTAAAAAATGGTATGATGTGCTACATCGCTTACTTGACATTACTTTGTTCCTGGCTAAGCAAAACATTGCTTTTCGGGGCCACAAGGAAGATGAGCTTTCCTCAAATAGGGGAAATTTTCTAGAGCTAGTAGAACTGATTTCTAGATATGACCCGGTTCTGAAGGAGCATTTGTTGCGGTTGAAGCATTGTGTCGATTTGCAAGTCCAGCCCCATGTTTCTTATCTCTCGCCGCAAACACAAAACGAGTTCATCGAGATGTTGGCAGGTCATGTTAAAGGGAGAATTCTCTCAGATATAAGATCATCGAAATATTATGGGATTATGTTCGATAGCACCCCAGATGCATCGCACGATGACCAAATGTCTGAAATTATCAGATATGTCAAGATTGAAGATGGGAAAGTCGAAGTAAAAGAATCATTTCTCGGTTTTTTTATTCTGAAAGGGAAAAAAGCCGTTGATTTGAGCAACGATATCCTTCATCAACTTGAAGGTAATGGATTGGACTTTATGAAGTGTCGTTCACAAAGTTATGACAACGCTATAACGATGTCAGGTACACATGGAGGAGTTCAGGCCTTGCTGAAGAAACAAAACAAAAAAGCGGTGTTCAACGGATGTGTAGATCACTCGTTAAACTTATGCGGCCAACACGCTTTTGCTGTGAACCCACAGTGTGTTACATTTTTTGGAACTGTCGAAGCCGTTTACTCGTTTTTTGCTGTTTCAACTCATCGATGGGACGTGCTGCTGCATCACACAGGTGTGGCGGTAAAAAGATTATCGCAAACCCGCTGGAGTGCGCATTATGAAGCGGTAAAACCAATTTACGCAAACTACGATGGGCTGATCGCTGCAATGAAAGCATTGTCTGATCCAGCTGAAAATTTGAATACCAGAGCAAGTGCACGAACCCTTCTGCCTGCGGTTTGTGACTTTACTTTTCTCTGTTATTTATACTTTTGGTGTGACGTCTTGCAAGAAGTTGATATTGCACAAAAGTACTTGCAAACGAAGGGATTGTCACTTGACAAGGTTTTGACTAAGCTAAAAGCACTCGAAATCTTTTTGACGGCTGAACGCAACAATCTTGTTGAAAACGCCATTGAGAAGGCTCTTTCCAAGTCAAAAGAGTATGGTATTGCTGTGGAGAGGAGAGTTCGTTTCAAGACAAGAAAGCCAGGTGGCCAACCGTCGAAACCCGGGCCTACGTTGGAAGAGGAAAACAGAACTGGTATGTTGGACTGCATCGATCGTTTTTATGATGAACTGCTGAAGCGATCAAAACCGGTGAAGGAGGTGGCGGACATTTTTGAAGCAATTCAAACTGAAAACTTGCTATCAGCGTCTGATTTAGAACAGAAAACGTCTGCTAATAAACTAACGACTTTCTACGACGAAGTGTCCGAAAGCGAACTGTTGTTGGAGATCCCAAGGTTTCGGAGACATCTGAAAGCAGCATAAATAATTATGGATGATGCCAAACGATGGAGTGCACTGGATGTGCTACAGTTCATCGTCAAATGGGACTTCCAGGAAACACTTCCAAATCTCACGGTTGGTTTGAAGTTGTTTCTAACCGTGTGTATTTCCGTGGCGTCCTGTGAGCGAAGCTTTTCCAAGTTAAAGTTGATAAAAAGTTATTTACGAACAACTATGGCACAATCGCGCTTAACTGGGTTGGCTTTGTTGTCTATTGAATGCGAATACGCTAACTCCACTGACTTTGACGAAGTCATAAGACAATTTGCTGCAGTTAAGTCAAGACGTGTCAAGATTTGCTGATTTCTTGTTTGTATTCAAATAAACGATGTTTTTGGCTTGGTAAACTAGATGTTTTATTTATGTTTTATTAAGGAAACAGTAATTTATGGTAAGTACTCATGTGCATATAAAACATGGGGTGACACCCAC